CCGGCTCAGGAGTGACCGGAGGTGCCGGCCCGTGTGCCTCTGCCTGGGGCTGGGGCACCGCTATCTGGACACTGATTGTCTGGCAAACTGTCACTTGGTACATGCTTAATACATGTGTACTGGAGGAGCCCCTGTGGCAGAAGTGACCATTTCTGCAGGAGGAAGGCCCCACGCTCAGAGAGGGCCAGTAACTCCCTCAGGGTCCTGTGTGCGATTCAAGGTGGCTCGCACCGGCCTGACAGTTTTTCAGGTTTTCCTCTGCCGACTATTTGTCACCTGTCCTTTGAACCTCATGTGGCCAGCGCCCCAGAGGAGCCTGGACTGAGTTGTCAGCAGCTTGGTATAGTGGTGCTGGGAAGTTTCTGCTGCACCACTGCATGTCACTGAGGACCCGTCTGTGGGTAGATCTGTGTGCCACCTGTGATCTGATGTTCCCTGTGGAGTGCCCAAGTCAAAGGCATGTGTGTTGAGAGGGTTTGTAATCCTGTGGTGACTCCTAGAACGATTTGCAGTTTTTAAGTCTGCTAGCAGTGGGAGGGAGGACTGGTGGTGCCGACAGGGCTGAGGCCTGGCTCAAAGCCCAGGGTGTCCAGGATGTGGAGGAGGCAGCCATTTGTGTCACTCTGGTCCTGCCATTTAACCATGTCACCTGAGGGAAAGCTTGCCGGCACCTCTCTTGGGGTCCTCTGACCGTCACCGGGCATCCGCAGCCTCGAGTGCTCCAGTGTCTGCCGCAGCGGCTGGTGCACTACCGCCCCGGGCAGGGCGATCCCTGAGGTGCCGCCACATCACGGACCGCACACGTGCATGGCCTCTGCCTCCAGGAAACTTTGGTGTTGCCCCCACGAAGCTGGAAATCTCTTGGGTAGCCCGTCGTCAGCTGAATATTAACCCACGTCATCCCTCTGGGTGATCCCACAGCATCCCTGGTCAGCCCCAGACCACTGCCAGCCCTCATGGCAACGAAGCAGAGTGAGGACTGGCTGGCTGGGGAGAGGCCGGGACAGCAGCCGACCCTTTCTGAACCCTCCCCAGGGTGGCCCTCACCTCCCCAGGCCTGGTGTGGCTCAGACTGCTCATCCGTGACATGGAGGCCTGTTCTCCAGTGTGAGGCATCTAAGTTTTGTGACTTCTACATCCTGTGACATCTTCAGGATGTTCCGTTTAGAAGGGCAGGGAGGGCACGATAGCCCTAAATAACGTGCTGTGTCTTTCAGTGAGGATAAAGTTCTCATTTCTTGCAGGAGTTCTGAGGTGTCCTAAAGCCCACAGGATACCTGTGCATACATGCACATAGATGCCTGGGGACATATGAGTCAAGGACATCCCTGGGGATTAGTCTTGGTGGTAAATCGTGCCTTTTTAGCACAGTTTTTGTTCCATGTCTTCCCTGACCTGCAGTATAAGCGCCAGCAGGCCCCGAGGAGTGGAGTGCCTCCCTGGTTCTCACAGATGCTGTCCCCAGAAGTACCGTGTCTGTGTCAGGGTGACGTTGGCAGTGTCCGTCCTGGTGTCAGTTTTCCATGGCTCTGTGCTTTCTGCCCAGGGGTTCCACGTTGCCCTCGGGCTTCCTCACCTTCTCTGGCCTGTTCCCGGCAGAAGCTCGGTACCCTCCAGGCAGCAGGTGGCTCCATCTCGGCCGGGAAGGGTTCTGGGTCAGCTCCTGCCCTGGGCAGCACAGCCAGGCCCTAGTCCTCGTGCCTCCACGCCTGGACAGCCAAAGCAACGGCTCATGGACGGCCAGGTGCTGTTTTGGGGGGGACTAGCCGGCAGGACAGCTTTGTGAGCAGAGAAGGCTACCCAGGCCAATGCCAACTTTCTAGCCTAGAGTAATACCTAGAGGGGGACGGGACAGGGCAAGGCTCTTCCGGTTTTAGGGGAGCCCTTCTGGGCAGTGGCATTAAGGAGGGGGTAGCAGATGGCCCAAGGAGTTGGCCGCACAGTCTTGTGGGAAGGCTGTCCTGGCGGAGGGTCTGGCTGCAGGCAGGGGGAGGAGCTGCGCTGAGCTTGGTTTCATTCTCAGGATTGGGGATGCAGTTGGAGAGTCTTAAGCAGAGGTACAATGTGCTCTGTCTTCTATGAGGACAAGGAGAGGATGAGGCCATGGGGGTGAGGGAGCTCTCAGGATCAGGGAGGCTGGAGGGACGCGGGGGACAGAGCACCAGTGGCTGCTGAGTCTGGGCCTGAGCAGGAGGGGTGGGGCCTGTTACCAAAGCTGGGGAGGAGAGGGGCTGCTTGGGGTGAGTCTGGGACAGCTGAGTTTGGCAGGTGTGAGCGGCTGGGATGCTGGAGTCCTGGCTGGGCGGGGCTGGCGCAGCCTGGGGTGGTGACAGCCCAGAGCAGGAGCATGGTCCTGCTGAGGTTGTTGGAGGGAGCACCAGGTACACCTCCTAGTCCCTCCCGGGAGTGACTGCCCGGTGGGAAAGACGCACACCCACACACGCATGGCTTAGGGCTGAGTGGGCAGGCGTGGCCCACAGGAGGGAGGACCCAGCGGGCAGCTGGTGACGTGCCAGGAGGCCCTGGGATCATCTGGCTGGTGTGCTGTGGCAGCCCCCTGGGACCTGCTGTCACCAGGGTACCCGGAGGGGCTGCTGTCTCTTGCCTTGTCTTTAAAGTAAATTTTTATTTTAAAACAGTTTCAGGTTTACATAAAAATCATGAAGAGGGTACAGAGTTGGCACATACCTGCGCTCGTTCCCGTGTTGCTTCCTGGTGTGTGTTCTTACGAAGTCAGAGCAGGTACCAGTGTTTGCAAGTGGGAAACAGCCAGGTTTCCCATTTTGTGTTTTCTTCAGACACCCGCATCGTTAGGCTGGAAGGTGTGTGCGGCTGTGCGGTTCTGATAAGGGCTGGGGCAGGTGGGCCCCTTGCCTTCACCTCAGAGTGGGGCAGGTACAGGTGGGTCCATCCTCAGCAGGTGCAGAGTCCTTGACCCCTGGAAGGCCCATGGGAGGCCAGTTCTCAGGTGAGGCAAGGTGGCCGAGGGCCTCTGGGCCTTGTGCCAAGTTGGGGCCACAGTACTGGACAACAGCCATCAGCAGGGAGGCCTTGCCGGGCATGGGGGCTGCCTCGTGGGTGAGTCGTGGCCCAAGGGTGGGCAGGTGGTGGAGAGAGCTGTCCCGTTGTAGAGGAGGCCGCACCTGCCCCCCACCTGCCCCAGGGTATTTCCAGGATGGGGGCCCCCATCTACCCTGAACCTCTGGTGTTTTTAGGGGAGCAAGTAGCTCTGGGCCCCTGCAGTGCAGGGTGTAGCCCCACAGCCCGGGGAGCTCTGCGTGGCTCGGGGCGTCCCTCGCCCGGAGTCCTCAGCCCTCCCTCCTTCTGCAGGTTTGCCTGAGGAGCTCTGGGCGGCTGGGGTGGGCTTTCCCACCTGGACTTTCCCTCAGAGCGGCTAGTCTGGCAAGCATTGGCCAGTTCTGATGAGCATTGAGCAGTATTGATGAGTATTGACGAGCACTGACTATTTCTGGGCTAGAGTGAGCCGTATTGATGAGTATTGACTAGTATTGATGAGCTCTGACTAGTACCGGGCTACAGTGAGCTGTATTGATGAGTATTGATGAGCACTGACCAGTACCGGGCTAGAATAAGCTATATTGATGAGTATTGATGAGCACTGACCAGTACTAGGCTAGGATAAGCTCTGTTGATGAGTACTGATGAACACTGACCAGTACCGGGCTAGAATAAGCTGTATTGATGAGTACTGATGAGCATCGACCAGTACCGGGCTAGAGCAAACCATATTGATGAGTCTGAACAGGCGTGGATAGTGCAGTGCTTTGTCTTCTGGCAGAGCTGGCTCTGATGGGGAGCGGGGTGCGTACACTCATGCAGTTTTCTCTTGTCCTTTTAGTTTCTATTTCGTGCAGGGTACCGGTGTTGGGCATGCAGCCTAGTAGTGCAGGAGGCCTCAGCACAGGTCATGCGGCCTGGCCTGGAGGCAGGATCCCTTCCTCCTGCATTAGGGTCAGCCCCTGTATGGAGCGCTCATGCCAGGGTTGGGGAGCAGGCGCTTGGGCAGCTCAGGAACTCTTCCGAGGGCCGGGTAATCGGCACTCACTTCTACCCCCAACCTCCCAGCTGCATCCCTGACAGGTCTTGGCTGCCTGCCGGGCAGGAAGGCCCCCAGGTGCTCCTTGCCCTGTGTGTGTCTGGGTGTCATGGCCCACGCCCTCAGCTCCCTGTGCTGAGCATTGTTTTGGGGAGAATCTATTGACTGTTGCTGGGACACTGCATGCAGGCATGGCAGGTGGCTTAGTGCAGGGCCTGGGTGGGCAATGTGGGTGGAACACTGGGGAGCTGGCATCCCGAGGCCCTGCTCCGGGCAGCCTCCTTGGAAGTCCAGTGTCCCTGCCTGGTCACAGAACCCCAGGAATTGGCAACATGGCATAGAAGCTTCCAGAACCAGCAGGCAGACCCATCTCTGCAGTTTCCTTGCCCCAGCCTAGGCAGCTGCATACTCTGTGCCTTCAGCTCCTGGTTCTTGGATGCTGGGGGGTCTGGATGGGGCCAGAGGCTATGGGGGTGGCTGTTCCCATGTCCGGGTGACCTTGGGGGCCAGCCTCAGGCCTGGAACCACAAATACAGGGTGGGCATCTCACCTGTCTGTGGCAGGAGCCAGGGGCCCTTGGCCGGCAGCAGCCCTTGGGTTCCAGGTAGGTCCCAGCCGGCGCCTTGGGTGTTAGCAGAGCAGCAAAAAGGTTCACTTTTTTGGTGGCGTTTCCTGGAGCTTGAGAGTTTTAGTTGGCCCTCGATGGTGTTTTAATGTGTCTCTTGTGTTTGATTTTTAGTAAGACTTTGAACCCGACGCAGGCTTCAGTGGTTGCCGTGGATCAGAAGCGTGAGTGCTTTGGCTCGAGACAATTAAAGACGTGGGATGAGGCTCCGAGACAGGACGCGGTTCTGCCTGGGGATTCTGAAGATAAAAAGCTTTGAAAAGTCGAATTCATGGTCGTGGAAACCGAGCCCATATTAAGAAATGTCAGGTTGGTAGGGGTCCTGGAGTCTGAGCAGGTTGAAGCCGGTCTCTCTGCGAACATGTGAAGGAGGAACATTGGGGACGTGTGACCTCACTGTCCTTAATGTTGGGGGGCCTGGCTGTGTGGGTGTCAGGCCCGACTGCTGCCACAGCTTGTGTACGCTGGGCAGGGACATGGGTTGTCCCCCGAGGGGGGTTTCCCTGTGTTTCCAGTGGGCCGCCAGCAGCAGGCAGCAGAGCGCAGCCTCGGTTAGGCCTTCACACAGCATCTGCTGTTGGCTTCTGTCAGAAGGGATCCCCAGAGAGGCGTGCAGGTGGGTGCTGAGGCCAGGTCTTGCCTGTAGTAGACCAGGGGTGGGGCCTTGGGGCCTTGCTGAGCCCCAGATGAAGATGGGGAAATCCCAGCCACCTGCCATTCGGCCGGGGAACAAGAAGGGCAGGACCGCAGGTTGTGGTTGAGTTTGCTCCTTTTGCCCCTTTTGTGTTCTCAGGCCTTGGAAGTGCAGAGTCAGTGAACACAGTCCTAGGTTACGGTGCTGCTACTGCGAGACTTAGTCCAACGTGGGTTAGTCACGCCTGGCCACCTCCCTGGGCATGTCCCCCGAGCCCACCAAGGGCCCAAGGACATGTCATCTGGGAGACCCCTGGCTTGGTGGTCTGGGGCAGCTCTGTGGGTGGTGGTAGGAGGCACCACATGGTGGGGCCTGGCATTCTGAACTGCTCCCCCTGGACTGCAGGGCCCCTCCCCTTCCTTCCAATGAGGGACTGGGCCCTGGCCACACCAGCACCTGGGCGTTCTCCCCAGGCAGTTCTCATGTGGCCAAGTTGTTTGCAGGGTGAAGCTGAGCATTGGGTTCCTGCCAGGTTGAACTCCGAGGTCCACAGGTGAGGCGTCTGCTGCCTTGTGCGGGTGTGGGTTCAAACACTCTGCTGAGGACCCTGAGAGGTCTGGGCACATGTGTTATATCTGTCCACGTTAGCCTCATCAGAAACTGAAGCTGAGGAATGTAAGAGTGGGTGTTTATCAATTCACTTAAAAATGCCAATAATAAACTCACTCCATGCTAAACACATGGCGTTCAATGTGAGGTGTAACTCCTTTCCAAGCCATGTTTGCATGTGTACATGTCCCTGCCGTCTGGCATAGTGGAGACAGCTGGCCGTGTCCATAGTGGGTACTGAGCATCGCACCGCGGTGGGCGCTCGTCTAGAGAGAACTGGAGGGAAAGGCAAACCACAGGCTGCCAGCGCCTCCTCGTTTCGACTGCAGATCCCACACCTGGGGAGCAGCTGGCCTGGGTGGGTCCCAGCACCTTGACCGTTGGAGGAGGCAAGTGGGTGGAATGGCCAGCATCTTCTGGGACAAGCTGGAGCTTGAGGACCTCGGGAGGAGCCGTGTGTGGCGGCCAGCACAGGGGTATGGGCCCCACTGCGCCTGGAGCCTTGGCCTGGCAGCCTCAAACCCAAACCCAGCTGCATTCTAGCTTTGGGTGGTCAGTGGAGACCTGTGCACCATCTCTAGCAGGCGTCCACTCTGGCCTGGAAGCACCCTCGGTGTGACTGATGCTGCATGTGGACGGCGGCCATGTGCACAGCTGCGCCGGGCCTGCCCACAGGACAGTGCTTTCTTGTGACTCGATCCTGAGAGGCACTTCCCTGCTCCCCAGCCGCTGACAGCTCGGGCGCCCGCCGAACTCTGCACATGCACAGGCGGGCCAGGGCCGGAGACCCAGTTGAGTATGCGGCGTGGCCACCTGGGGCAGCCATCAGGGCCTCCTGCGGCTGTGGTCTGTGGCAGAGCCTGCTCGGTCACTCTGCTTCTTGGTCCTCGTCCTGTGCCCCCTCCACTGCCTCTCCCACTGGCCGGCTGTTGCTAGGGCTGCTCAGTCTCTGGGAGTGAGTCTGTGAGGCTCCAGGGGGTGGATGACTGGGCCCCCACCCCAGATCCAGTGCTGCCTGGCCACCCGAGGTGCGGGGTGATGGTGGCCACAGTGCTGTCTGCCCGGCACAGGACGGGTGGGCTCGTGCTATACCTCGAAGCCCTTATTTTTCCAGCTGGACCCCGAGTGAGGTTTAGTTGTGTCACATTTGGAAAGAGTTGGTTTTTAATAATTCTCAACCTCTTGCTCTGGGAGGGTCAGGGATTCTGAGTATATTTTAATAGGGTTTAACCCTTTTCTCCCTTTGCACTATTTTTTGCCTTTTCAAATCTACAAACAGAAACGGTGCCAGGCAGGGCTCTTGCGAAAGCACACTTGGGATCCGCCAGGTGGCCTGGGCAGCCACACTGGGGTGTTTCCCTAAGGCCCTTGCGTGTAATCTGCACATTCCCATGTTCACAGGGTGGCCCTGCAGCTAGGCGGAGCACAGCTCCCCACCTCCCAGAGCTGCCCCAAGGTCTCTGAGGATCCCCAGCATTTGCCCTAGGGGACAGTTGCCATCGGTCTGTGTCCATGCAGGTCTCAGCGAGCTGTAGCAAAGGCCAGGTTGTCTTTCCCACCAATTTTTAATTTACTTTTTATAGAGGTCCACATGACTGGACATTCAGAGTAGAAGGTCCTCGGGGAGGGCCCTCTTTAGCCCCTGTGGGCAGTGGGCAGCAGCGTAGCAGGCTTGGCCTGGTCTGCGGTGCTACAGGAGCTGAGCCTTCTGCTCCTGTCTTGCAGGCGTCCGACCTCCGATCATGAACGGGCCCCTGCACCCACGGCCCCTGGTGGCGCTGCTTGACGGCCGGGACTGTACAGTGGAGATGCCCATTTTGAAAGACGTGGCCACCGTGGCCTTCTGTGACGCGCAGTCCACGCAGGAGATCCATGAGAAGGTAACACCCTGCACCTTCACCTGGGCTGGCAGACCTTCGTGTGGGCATGAGGAGGGGGGTACAGAGTGCGAACGGGTCCTTGGGCCATGGCCAAGCATGCATGTGGCGCTGGCCTCTGGCTATGGTCAGTCTGAGTGCCACTGGGGACAGGAGTGGCCCCTGCCATAGTCAGCTCAGCCTTGTCAGGAGGTGGCGGCTGGACATGGGGCTGGCTTCTCGGTTTGTTTTCTTCATAACCAGTATTTTCCCAGGAAGCACGTCCTTGGGATGTTGGCCCAAGTTGCTGGAGGCCAGAATGCTCTGCTTCCTCCTGAGCCCGGTGAGCATTGTTCTTCACCCAGCGGTCTCAGCATTGCTGCGGCACCTCCCGGGCTCATGTGCGCGCTGGGTAGCTTTTGGGCAGCTTTCACACTTGGTGTCTGGTCGGGGAACTCCAGGGCTCCCCAGTGATGAGAAATAGGCCAGTCTGTACTACTTGGAGTCATGGCCCAGGGATTCAGTAACAGCCTTTCTACTGATGGCAGATGAAGAAGCCAGACAAAGTTCTTTAAAAATCTAACAAGCCACGAAGAGCGGACAGAACAGGGCCGGGCCGGTCACAGGCTGCCACCAGGAGAGGCCCAGAACTTGTGGGAATGAACAGGCCATGCCAGCTCGTGCAGCAGCCTGTTAACATCCACAACAGACCTTGCGCTTGGATCATGGGTGACCCTGCACTGCTGTGCCCCAGGTGCCTGGCAGGGCAGCCCTCTGTAGAGGAAGATGCAGTGGGGGCACGTGCAGTCACAGGTAACCAGGCAGGCAAGTAGAGAAGATGCCGTGAGCCAAGCCCAGCAGGAGCAGATAGGCAGCACGACCGCCAGGGGCTCCAGCTGCCGCCTTGGGACGACTGCCGACACCACAGCCGAAGAGATGAAAGCTGGTAACTCTACAGAGTAAGGTAGCAGATCTAGAGGAGGAAAAATTACAGGATGTAATTACAGATTACAAATTGCCAAAGCCAGAAGTAGGACTTGTGGGGCAGATTTCACAGCCATCTGGGCATCAGCAGCCAGGAGGGCGGGGAGGAGTCTCAGTCCAGACATGGCAGGGTGACAGAGGGACGGAGGGTGGGGAGGAGGGCACAGTGAGGAGCAGGCAGCTTTCATGGAAACCCCAGGGAACAATGGTGGGAAGGGGCCAGGAAACAAAATGTGGTGAGACAGTGGCAGAGGATCTCCAAAACTGACGGAAGAGCACGTGCAGTGAATCTGCTGGGCACCTGCCCTGGGACAGCCGCTCTGGAGGGGCTTTGGCGGTTTCTTTCAGGGTTAAACGTGCACTGCCAATTCGACCCGGCGACCACGCTCCTAGGGAAGTGGCGCTCACATCTGCACAAACCTGCACGTGATGGTTCACAGCAGATGCTGTGGAATCCTACTTAGCAAGGACAGGAACAAACTGTTGATACTTGCAGCGCGTTGGGTGGGTCTCTGTGGCGTTCTGCCAGTGAAAAAGACTAATTTTGAAGGGTTAGGTTGTGTTTCATTCCCTTCATTCTCCAGTAAGGAGGTGATGTCGAGAAACAGTTGCCGGGGTGGGTTGAGGGAAGCGGGGGGCTCGGAAGAGTTAAGGAGAAGTGCTTCTGTGTGGCCTTCGGACAGTTCTGTGTCCTGCCATAGTGGCAGCTACTCAGATCGATGTGTGATAAGTTACAGAGGCCGGTACACGCGCACGCACGCGAGGGAAAAACGGAGAAACCAAGCAGGACGCACACCTGAGCCTGTGTGTGGCACCGGCGTTGGGTTTGAACAGTGACCTGGCTGTGGACGAGGTCCTCGTGGGGAGTGGAGCAAGCACACAGGAGCCCTCTGGACTATTTTGGCAACCTCTTGTGAATCTTAAACAATTTCAAATTAAAAACAATACATGGAATGAAAAAGACATACAGATAGAAAATTTTCAAAATCATAAGTAATACTGAAGTTTTGCCAATAAATTTGAAAACTAAGACAAAACAGATGTTTTATTCTAAAATCATAATATGTCAAAACTGCCTTAGGCTGGGCATGGTGGCACGGCTCTGTAGTCCCAGCTACTCGGGAGGCTGAGGCAGGAGGGTCACTGGAGCCCAGGAGTTTGAGGCTGCTGTGAGCTATGATGACGCCACCGCATTCCAGCTGAGGTGACGGAGTGAGACTCTGTCTCTGTGTTCATGTAAGGTGCAAGTAAATAAGTGGACAGAGACCTGGCTCGGGGATGAGGGCAGGGGCGGGGCCTCAGAGGGACAGCAGACTGTCCCCACCTGACAGGCAGATGGCATCCTGTTTTATTCTTTGACTAAAAGAAACATTAAGAACTGCTAATTCGTATTGCGGAGAGAGGTGCAGTAACGCCTCATTGTACGGAGCAGGCGCAGTGGAAAAGAATCATCAGAGAACTAGAAAGAGCCCTTGGAAATGAAAAATATGAGTGAAAATGTAATTGTAGTAGGAAGCTTGGAGATAGTCAAGGAATCTCAGAGGAAAGAGCTGGAATCTCAGAGGAAAGAGGGGAAAACTGAGATGGAAAGGCCTCCTGGGAGCTCTGTGCCAGAGTCCGCTGGTGCCAGCCACGCCCTCAAGTCCCCGTGTCTGTATAGCACGTAGTCTTGAGTAGGGACTTTGTTTCCCAAGCTTTCTTGCCACTAGGTGTGGCCAAGTGACTAAGTTCCGACAAGGGAGAGGTAAGCAGAAGTTTTGTGTGCAGATCCCTCTTCCTTCTCTTTGCAGACTGGAAACCCGATGTGATGGGTGGAGCCTGGGCAGCTACCCTGGACCGTGAGGGGATGGGGAGCAGCGAGGCAGGAGCCTGGGACCCCGATGGCTGTGGAGATGTCTCCAGGCGCTGGTGTGGGAGGGAATTGTGTCCTTACTACTCAGGAATTTCTGCTGCTAGGAGCAGAAACTTCCCTTACAGCTGGTTGGATGTCGGATGTTATCTGGGTGCTGTAGGACAGAAGGTGATGTTCTTAATGCAACAAGATGATGAGGAAAAACTCCAGAGCTAAGTGGGGATTTCAGCTCTCTTGCCACAATCCTAGGAAGAACGTCAGAGGGCACCCGAGATGCTCTGCTGTTCAGGGTCAGGAGACCGGACCGCCCGGCCCACACTGCCGGCATCAGAACTTCTGTGGGAAAACCACGCACAGTCCGGGATTGCACATCTGATCAGACCGCCAAGCAGCTGGGAAGGAAGGCCTGGGGACCAGAAACGGTGCTTCCACATCAGAGCTGGTGCAGGTGGGGCCGCGGGGCCTTTCTGGGAAGGGGCTTCTGAGGAGGCAAATGGACCTGGGTGAAACTGGAAGCATCTGCAGGCCAGGGTGGGGTGGGAAGGCTGCCGGAAGGTCCCTGCCTTGTAGCGGTGCTGCGGATGTGCAGGCAGTGGAATGGCACGAATCCAGGAAAACACAAAACCGGTGGTGTAGGAGTGGTGGGGTGGAAGACGGTCCCCGGAGGTGGTGGCCGACAGAGAGATGAGCTGCCATGGCTCTGACCTCAGTACCGAGGCATAAGCCAAGAGGACAGAGACCCTGTCATCGTGTGGTGGCCCCTTGCTTAGCAGGCTGCGCTGTGTCCACCTGAGCCTCAGGGCGCGTCCAGAACCCGAGGAGGAACCGTCAGGCAGTGTCAGTGCCACAGTGGACAGGACAGGACCAGAAACAGCCCACCTGATGGGGCCGCTGGGACGGCCGTGGGGAGACAGCCACCTCAGGCTGCAGCGCACCGTCTGGACGGACGGCCATGTGTTTGGCAAAGTTCTGAAAGTATGAGGAGAGATTTGAAGGAGAATGTTTATTACCTTGAGGCCATAACAAAGCAGAAGATGTAATAAGTTACATGGAAAATGTGGCACTGGAAAGGAAAGGTCAGTCCGATTAAATGACAATTAGAAACAATGACGTAGAAAAATGTGTTAAAAAAATAAAAACAAGTGAGAGATGGCGGTTGGGTATTTTCAATTTGTGTAACAACCTAAAGGTTAATATCTAAGATATTGAAAGACTCTTGCCAATAAATAGGAAAAAGAAAAATCCCAACAGAAAACAGGCAAGGGAGGCGGTATTTGGGTAAAAACGGCGCTCTCCATTAAGCACACCCCCTCCCTGGTCCTTGGCAGGCGCGGAAGTCACCACCAGGTCAGGGCTGGGTAAGGCCTGCGTCGGCCACGGTGCAGCGAGAGCGCATTTCTCGTGAGGAGCAGAAACCGCCACTGCCAGGTTTTTTTTGATGGTGCATTGACAGTTTCTGTGAAAATTTGAAGCATGCAGAGTCTTCAGCCCAGCTCCACTCTGTCATGGAGAAACATCCAGACGGGGGTGACATCGTGTGAGCAGCAGTTTCACAGAATAAGCCACGCCTGTGCACGCGTCTGGCAAGCTAAGGACAGCGCAGGAGTGCTCAGAACAGGCAGGAGAGGCGGGTTGTGGAGCTGCACCGGCCACGTGCTTTCCACAGGGCAGGAGGTGGGTGTGCGGGGCCCCGGCCCGGCCTGCCAGGGGACATCTTGACCAGCCAAACTCCAGCTTTGGTTTGAGGTGGGTGGCCAGTGAGTTCACTCAGAAACTGCTGCCCCTGGGAGCATCTAGGGGGTTTGTTTCCAGCCAAATGGCAGCTGACCCTCAATGGGCACTCTGCCTTCTCCAGGCCTGCTGTGAGCATTCCGCGAGGCTGGGACCTGTGTTACCCTGTTCTGGAGTTGAGCAGAGGGGTCAGGCCACCAGCCTGGCCACACAACTGGTGGAGGGTGGTTTCTGGGAGGCTACTGGTTCATGACCTAAAGGGACACACCTGGCTGCACCTATGTTCTACAGACTTACTCCCTGGGAGGTTGTTGCAATACCCGGGGCTGGAGCAGCCACTTTATAACTATGAAGGGGAACATAAGGGACCTGCAAAGGGAATGGACCTGGAGGCTGATGGAGCAGCTGAGGTGTCCTGGCCTGCAGACCTCTGGACAGCACAGCCGCCATTTGGCAAAGCCCATGCCCCAGTAGCCTTTGTCCTGCAGCTGAGCATAGGCCAGCCTGGCATGTGCAGGGCTGTGGTATTAGGGTCTCTGAGTAGTGTTCAAATTCCTGCTCTGAGAACATCTTCACCCAGTACTATGTTATTAAAATACATTCAGTAGAAAGAAGGGTGAGGACATGAAAAAAATTTATCAAGAAATGTATGGGGGCAAGTTATTAAAGCTGTGATAATGGATGCCAGCTTGCACTGGGCTTCTGGAATGCCTGGCACTGACCAGAAGTCCACAAGCCCTTGGTCAGTGCCGCTGGGAACTTCCAGCTGACTCACTAGTTTCTATTTCTAAGAACTTATCAATAAAAAAGATTTTTATCGCAAAAGCGCCAACATTGGAAGCAACCTGCAGGCCCCAGCAGCAGGGATGTTCAGATAGACCTGATCGACCCTCTGTGTTGGGACGTACCATGGCACGATTAAGAATCCAGTTTCTGAAGACTGTTGATGGCCAGTGTTAAATGCTCAGGATGAAAAGCAGGCTGTCACCTGCACTTGAGTCCGGGAAGCATGGGTCTGTCTGTCCGCCTGTCTGCAGCCGGGACTCCTCCACACACCTCAGTGGGGGGGCCCACCGGAGCGCACGTCTGCTACAAGTCTGTCCCCGACTCCAGGGCTCCCTGGCCACTGTCCATTTCTCCCCACTTCTGGTGTGCAAAGCCCCACCTGCCCATAGTGGGCGCCAGCAGACCTTCACTTACAAGTGACTGGCCCCTGCCCCACCTGCTTCTGAGGTGCCCAGGGTGTCCCCTCCCCGACGTTGTGGTCACCCTGTCTCTAGTCCACACAGCCCAGGGTGGCCTGGTCCAGCCTCGCCCCCACCGCCTAGCTGTGCACCAGCTGCCTGCTGCCTGTCCGTGTGCTCACATGCTCCCGGGCAGTCCCTTGTACCTCTCGTGGGCTCTTGATGCTGCTCCAGTGTTGGTGTCCTCACCTTATTAGGTCTGATTGAGCTGTGTGGCCTGAAGTCCTCCCAGGAGGCCAGGGCAGCTGTCAGCCCTATCTGTGAACCACTGAGAGCTACCTGCCCATCTGTGCGTCCCTGCGGAGGATGCCCTGCCTCCCAGAGCTAAGAGTTTCAGCTCTTCAGTGCAGGGGTGGACTCTGGCAGTGCCCAGCCTTCCCTTCCTTATGGAGGATGTCCTGGCTGGCCGGTGGCCACAGACCCAGGCTCCCTGCTTTGCTGCCTAGACCCTGCATGCCCTGGTCTGTGCAGCCCCTGACAGCCGGGAGGAGGGAAGGGCGGCCGTGCCAGCCTCAAAGGGATGGATTGTGTCCAGCTAAGCGAGAGGGAACAGGTGGGCAGTCAGCACCTCCGTGGCTGCCTGCTGCGCCACTCAAGTCCAGGCCCCAGGACTCCCATATATACACGTGAGCACAGCCCGGACTCGGGGCCCATCCCTGCAGTGTCCCCTCCGGAGCCTGTGTGCGTGGGGCACAGCTGTGCGCCACCCTCCTTGGGGCTCTTCCTCCACTTGTGAGACCACCTGAGGTCTGGTGGGTAGCCTGTGCCTCTTTCCTCACTCCCCGCTGGGACATGGGCGCCCCAGGAGCTGCCGACCCTCGGTGGGGCAGAGGCAGCTCTGACCACGTGGTAGCCGGCCTGGGATGGGGCGGGGAGGCCGGCGTAGCCCTGGTGCTGTCTCCTACGGAAACTGGAAACAAGTAACTCGATGGTCTTGAGAGCTGGGCTGTGCACACTGGCCGTGCTGTGTGTGCCTGTGCCCCGTGCTCTGGGACCTCCGGTGTCACGGGACCTTGGGCCTTGCACCTGAGCCCTAGGACCTCCGGTGTCACCAGGCCTTGGGCTTCACGTCTCATCTGGGTCATTGTGAGCAGTGTTTCTAAGGGGCCGTCGGGGGTCTTGGGGCCACGTTTGCACTTCTGTGGTTTTGTCCTCCTGGCTGGGGTGTCCTTGTGGCTGGGTTGCTCCTGTGTCCTCATCTTTTGGGGGTGAGGACCCACAGTTTCCTTGGTGAGGCTGAGCGGATGTGAGTGGGGCGCGCCCAGCTGCCAAAGCTGAAGGAGACCGGCTTGGGCCTGGCAGTTGCTGAGCGGTGAGGACTCACAAGCGCACGCCGTGGTGGAGGCTGCATGGAAGCTGCCGGAACCTCAGGGGCGGCGCTGGGGGAGGCATCCACACAGCCCACTCCTAGGGTCCGGGCTGGTTCTCGAGGTGCTAGAGCCTGAAGGCAACAGGCTAGTTTCCCGGCGTGGGCGCAGCCCAGCCTGAGCCAGCACGGTGTCGGTGGCTGCGGACTGGCCCTGACGCTCAGCGCTGTGTTTTCTCCCTGCTCCAGGTCCTGAATGAGGCTGTGGGGGCCCTGATGTACCACACCATCACGCTGACCAGAGAGGACCTGGAGAAGTTCAAAGCCCTCCGAATAATCGTCCGGATTGGCAGTGGTTTTGACAACATCGACATCAAGTCAGCTGGGGACTTAGGTAGGGTGGTTCCGGGGCTTTCTCTGCCTGCAGCGTCCATGCTGCGTCTCCACGGCAGGACCCTGTCATGTTTTGCTTCATCTGTTGAGGTTCTGCTTTATGACAAGAATCCCGTGGCAGGCTGCCTGATTGGCTGCAGGTAGTTTGCAGTTCCCATCTGCGGCAGGGGTGAGGTGGCGGCAGCTTTTTTCAGAAAGCTTCACCCCGGGGCACTGGTCCCGTGTCTTTTGGGCATCACTCAATCCATCTGGCCCCTCGCTTGGCCCTAGGGTGAGGGGCAGGGCTGCCAGCACGTCCCTGTTGGGGTTCATGGGTCTCTGTTTTCAAGACAGGGGGGAAGGCAATGTGTGGTACCCTGAGACACGCACATGTGCAGGTACACAGCACACGCAGTGCACACACACGGTCCTCATGCCTGCACATGTGTGCACACACTGAAACAAACAGCAAAGTAGCGCTTAGCCGTCCCGTGTTGAGTACAGCCTGCTGTTCGCTGTGACACCCTGGTCTGCGCAGCCTCCTTTCTGCTCCTTTTAGCTGGTAACAGGCTGCTGGGGTGGGGCTGTGCTCTTCGAGGGCCCATGGTTGGCACACGCGTCTCTAGTGTTTGGCTCTGCTCTCTTTTGCGAGGATGCAGCTTAAGGTGTTGCAAGGTCAGACCATCTCGTTTCTGTGGGAAGCGCAGGTGGTGTGGGAAGTCACACCTTCGTTCTGGGGGTTCTTTCGTGCCTGCACCAGCTGCCTGCCGCTGCTGGCTGGCACCGCTGAAACCTCGTGCTGGCCCTGTCCCCGCCGTGATCTGCAGGCAGCATCCCAGGGAGGGCCGCGGTGTTGGGCGGCACACCTGGTGCTTTCTGCGTAGGGGTCTCCCACTATGTGCCACCTCTGTGTCCATGTGGCTCCACAGGCCAGGGCCCTGTCCTGAGCCAGGACAGCCTGGTGCCTCGTCCCTTCAAGGCTTAGCCAGCAGGGGTCTGAAGTCTTGGGACTGGGTCCACCCTAGGTGGCAGTTTTGATCCCAGATTCCTTGGGCTGCATGGCTGGGTCCTCTTTCAGACCCCCTCGTTTCTGTGTTACGGCACAGTGAGTTGTTCCTGGAGTGCCGTGCGGGATCCTGTCCTGGATCCTCTGCAGCCCCATATGTGCCACCCCCTCGGCAGGCCCCACCCTGGCCCATGGGGCGGTTCACAGGACAACACGGCCCATCCTGGCCTCCTGGCACCTCATCACCAGAGGGGGGGTCCTGGGGCAGGGCAAGTGAGGATGAGGGCAGAGAGGTGCCAGGGCTCAGGAGAGAGATGGGGTTGAAAGGGGAAGGGTTGGCCCTGGGACAGGGAGGGGTCCACAAGGACACGCTGGGCCCAACTGTCGGGAGAGGCAGCACTGTGGCTCAGATGGAGCAGGAGCAAGACAGCTTCACCTTCCCAGGTGCCCGGAGCTTCTGCTCGGGGCACGGCGGTGGCCCCACCTGGCCTGGGGCATCCTGGGGAGGCAGACAGTGGCTCTTCAGGAGGGTGGGGCACCAGGAGGTCCAGGTGGGAGGAATTGGGGGGCATGTCAGCTTCTGCTTGGCCACCTGCATGTCCCCAGCTCCCAAAGCTGTGTTTGTGGGGGTGGTCAGGGCAGCCTCCCTGCCTGTCCCCGAGCCTCATCTGCACACTGAGTGGTCACCATGTGTGTGTGCTGTGACATATACTAGGAGTGGACATGGGCCCAACCCTGATGCATACAGGGCTGGGTCAGTCACTCTGCTTTGCCATCAAGTCTGAGTGACACATGTTTGTTTCGTGGCCTCCGGGGTGGCTTGTCTTTTGGCTTGTCACTGGTGGAGGATCACACCAAAGACCAGCTCCAGCACAGGCAGCCCTGGGTGCTCACCCTGGAGGTTGGGGCCCCAGTGTGTGGTGACCACCATGCGTGTCCTGTGCCCACAGGCATTGCCGTCTGCAACGTGCCGGCAGCATCTGTGGAGGAGACGGCCGACTCGACCATGTGCCACATCCTGAACCTGTACCGGAGGACCACCTGGCTGCACCAGGCGCTGCGGGAAGGCACGCGGGTCCAGAGTGTCGAGCAGATCCGTGAAGTGGCTTCCGGAGCTGCCAGGATCCGTGGGGAGACCTTGGGCATCATTGGACTAGGTGCGTAAGCCAGCCCCGGCTCAGCACATGTGGCTCAGCCCGGCGCCCACTGTTGCCGCCCCTCAGCTCGTGCTCAGGAGAAGATGAGGCCCGGGTGGGTTGTGGCTGCAGGAGTCGTCCCCAAGCCCCCAGAACAGGACTGAGGATGGACAGTGGGGTACGGGCCGGGGGATACCAGGTGTACTCCTTACACACACATACATCACACACAGATAGCTCAATGCATGAACGTCACACACGGGCACACATGGATGTCACAAATGGACACCATGCACAGATGTCTCAACCAACGTGAGTCACGTGGACTGCAGACGTGGATGTCACTCTCAGGCACAGACACCAAATGTGTACGGTCCTGCCCGAGCTCACCCTGGTGGCCTTGGGGCCTCCTCCCATCGTCCCCTGCTGGGCTTTTCCTGGCAGCCGCCCCGCTGCCCCCTGAGCCCTGTCCCCGGGTGGGGGTTGGTTCATTTCCTCCTCCTCCTTTTTCACTTGGTCACTCATTCACCCACTCGCTTGCCGTGCAGGCTCCTGTCCCGGGCCGGGCACCGTGCTGGGTCCACACTTGCAGTCCCCCACATGGGCCAGGACCCAGGCCGAGAGTAGATAAGCAAGCTGTGTGTGCGTCCCTGGAACAGATGTGTCAAGGGAGAATGGAGCCGGAAGGGGCCCGAGAAGGGTCCCCAGGGAGGGGCTCAGGAAGAGCATCTTGGGGGGGCCAGTGGGAGATGATTAAGGGTTCACGAAGTGGGCATGGGCCCCTTTTCCAAAGACCACTGGGCACTACCTGAGACCACCAGGTGCCATCTGCCTCCCAGAACACTGCTCCCCGAGAGCTGTGCCAGAAGCGCCCCGTGAGGGCCCACAGCAACTTGCTGTGCCTGGGACTTGCCCTGGCCGGCCCCTCCGCATTTCCCTGACCCCGTGCGTGTCCAGGCAGCCACCCACTGACCTCCCGCCTGCCCTGCCCGCCAGCATTCCGGGAACGGGAGGGTGTCAGGTCTTCTTGGTGCCGAGGATGCCTACATCAGTGGAGGGCGTGCGTGGGACCCGGGTTGTCTCTCACTGGATGTGCCTTTTACCGTCCTGCTGGTGTCACCACACGGACCCAGGGGCTGGCCAGAGCCCTGGGTGTGCCCATCCCCCAAACCTCCACCAGTCTGAGGACTGGATGGCTCCTGCCTCAGGGTTATGGCCACCAGCCCCTGGCATGTGTGGTTTGTGGGAGGACAGGGTGGGGGCCGCCCACGTCCTTGGGCTTGCCATGGGCTGTTGGCTGGAGAGGCCTGGGGGCCCGGCCACCTGCAGGCTGGCCCAGCCTTTCTGCTGTGGGGGTTTCAGGGTGCCCAGGGGTGTTTCCAGCCTCTACTCTCGTTAACTTCCTGTCAAATCAGAGCCAGCCCATGGGGGTGCAGTGAGGTGGGGGTCCTCGTGTGCCACCTGCCTGCGGGGTGCTGCTGCTCCTGGTCTCCTCTCTAGGCTGCTCCTCAGCTCCTGGCCCTTGGCGTGATCCTCTCACTCTGCCGTGACCTTATGGTGGCCCCATTGTAGCCAGGTCAGAGCTCCCTCCTGGTGTCTGGGGTGCCAAAAAGAGCAGGTCCCACCGTCCAAGGATGCAGGGATGGCCCCTGCCTTGACCACCTGCCAGGTACTTCTGACTGCAGAGCACCTGTGGGGACGCCTCCAGCCCTCTCAGCCTGTCTCTGAAGCCCCCGTCCACACCCTCCCTAGGAGAGCCCTGGGCGTGGCCACCCTCCCTGGGCGCTAGCCCCTCATGCCCCCTCCGAGGGGCCCCCCAGCTCTCCTGCTCCTTCCCTTTGCACATACTGTGTTCAGGTTGTTCTTAGTATGGAATACGCATGATTGATTTCACAGTTGTCATTACGTGGTGATTGCCTATGAGTGTAAGTAGTGAATACTTTGCGTGGCTTGCTGTGTTGGTGTTACCCATGCACGGTCCAGTGAACCAGCTGTTTCCTCTGTTCTGTGTGGGTTTACTAGTGCCCACGATTTTTCTCCCTCCCTCCTTCCCTTCTTTCTGCAAAACGCACTATCTTAAGTGCACACTGGAAAACATCTTACATGTTTACGCACAAGGAACTACCACTAGGATTGACACGGCACATTCCTGCTACACGAGACAGTGCCCTTCTACCCTTCTCTGTTCAAAGCGCTGTCTGTGGCCTGCGATAGCTGGAATCCTGGTTTCCAGCGCCATAGGGCAGTTTCATCAGTTCTGCTGAAATGAAATTGTAGAGTGTGTAACTTTTCATGTCTGTCTTCAGTCTTATTGATGAATGGGATTTCATTGTGTGAATATACCACAGTTCATTTATCCAGCCTTTTGTGGATGGACTTTTTGTTTTAAGTTTTTGGCTATTACAAATAAAGCTGCTGCGAGCACGTTTGTACAAGGCTTTGTGCACATAATACTCATTTCTCTTGGATTTATACCCAAGAGCATTGGAATTGCTGAGTCACAGAGTAGAGCTTTGTTTAACTTGCAAGAAATTGCTAAGCCATTCTTCAGACAGTTGTGTGGCTTTGCACTCTCGTCGTCAACATGGGAGTGTTCCTGTAGTTCCATGTCCTTGTCAACACTTAGTATTGTCGGTCTTCACAATCTTAGCCATTCCAGCAGATATTTAGTGATATCTCATTTTTATTTAGGTCATTAAATATGAAATATCTAATTTCGAATCAGAAGTTTATTGTATCTTAAATAAGAAGCAGTACAATTAATCAAAATATGCACCTAAACTATCGACACAGTTTTGCCATCCTAACGGTAGCTTATTTATGCGAGTAGTGAAGAGAGTGAATGGTGATGAAATCATGAAAGGCTTTTTCCAGAGCTTGTTGAGAATTAATATTTTTTCTTGCAAGAAGTGGTCCAAAGCCTGGAAGGGGTAGTCAGTTGGTGCAAGATCTGGTGAACACGGTGGATGACAGAGAGTTTCCAAGTCCAGCTGCTGTAGCTTGAGCAGTGTTGTGTGTGCCATGTGGTTGAGCATTGTCTTGCAAGAGGATTGGCCTGTCTCTATTGACCAATCTCAGCTGCTTAACTGCAAGGATTCTCATCATTTCATCCAACTGGTTGCAGTAGACATCTGCTGTAATCGATTGACCGGGTTTCATGAAGCTGTAGTAGATAATACCAGCACTGGACCAGATACCATTAGCTTTTTTTGATGAATATTCGGTTTTGGATTGTGTTTTGGCACTTCATCTTTACCCAACCATTGTGCTTGCGATTGTCAAGAAGAATCCATTTTTCATCACATATAACAATAGGGTGTAGAAATGATTCGCCCTTATGTCGTGACCTTAAAGAAAGACAAGCTTCGAGATGATTTCTCTTCTGATGCTCATTTCATTCATGCAGAACCCCCATCTATCCAGCTTCTTTACCTTGCCCATTTGTTTCCAATGGTCCAATATTGTTGGAATAGTAACGACAAACCTTGCTGCTAATTCACATGTAGGTTGAGATGGATTCACTTCCACTATAGCTTTTAGCTCATCATTATCCACCTTGGTCTCAGGTCACCCACGTGGCTCATTTTCAAGATTAAAATCACCAGAATGGAGCTTATCAAACCATCGACGTACTGTGCGTTCATTAGCCACATCCTTCCCAAACACTTGATTGATACTGAGCTGTCTGAGCTGCACCCATTCCACGATGGAACTCATATTTGAAAATAACATCAATTTTTGACTTAGCCATGGTTTCGTAAAAATAGCTCTAAAAAAATTGGAAAGATAATCACAAGCGAAAACGTGCGTTTGAAAGACTGAGGATGTACCTTCACAATAAAAATAAAACAAGAAGTGTCAAAGTGAAATGTCAGAGATATCAGCTGTCAAACTTAGTACTTAAGGAAATCGGACATTTCATGCTTAACCTAATAATTTGTAGTTTCCTGATAACTAAGGGAAGTGAAACACCTTTTCATACACTTCTTGGGCATTTGGAGCTCCTTTGTTGTGAAGTGAAGTGTACCCTTCAGGTGTTTTTCTTGTGTTCGGGTGTCTTTTTAGTGTTGGTTTGTGTGAATTTCTCGTATAGCCTGGATCAAGTGCTTGTCAGGTGTATGTGCGCTGCAGATGTTTTCTCCCAGTCTGTGGCTTGACTTTTCACTTTCTTTCTGTGATGAGAACAAGTTTTCAGTTTTGGTGAAGCCCAGGTTATCACTCATTTTTTTCTAGGTTAATGGCTTTTGTGTCCTAAGGAATCTCTGCCTACCCCAGGGTCATGAAGATACTCTGTGTTTTCTTCTAGAAGCTTCATAGCTGTAGCTTTTACATACAGGTCTAGGGCCCATCTGGAATTACAGTTTGTGCATGGCGTGAGGTTGGAGTCAAGGTTCACTCTTTTCTACTAGAAACAAGGTGCTCCAGCACTGTGTGTTGGAGAGGTCATCCTCCCTGTCGCGTTGCCTTGGCACGTGGCGCCTTTGTTGAAAATCAGTTGGCCACATAGGAAAAGGGTGTCTTTGGGCTCTTCTGTTCCACTGATCTGTTTGTCTCCATTCTCACCAACTCCACCCGTCTTAACCGTAGTAAGTCTTGAAATCTGGTCGTTTATGTCCTTTCACTTTGTTCTTCAAGATCGTGTTGGCTGTTGCAGTCCTGTGCGTTTCCATTTCCAGTTTAGAATCAGCTTGTCAGTTTACATATTGTTGAGTCCGTACATCAGTTTGGGGAATGCTGACCTCTTAACAATACTGAGTCTTCCAGCACACAAACATGACATCTCTCCATTTATTTTAAGTTTTCTTACCAATGTTTGGTAATTACCAGTGTGTAAAAGGTTTTAACATAGTTCACTAAATATATTGTTATTTATTTGGTATTTTTAATGCTATTATAAATGATATGTTGTAATTTTGTTTTCCAGGGGTTGGTTATTAGTATTTAAAAATACTTTTGATTTTTGTAAACTGACCTCATATCCCGCAGTCTTACTAAATTCTAGTTTGTTGATTCACTTGGATTTTCTGCATACATTGTTTTGTCATCTGCAGATAAACACAAGTTTACTTTTTCCTTTCTGATCTGTACGCCTTTTATTTCTTTATTTTTGCCTGTTGTCATTAGCTGTGGTTGCCAGTACAATGTTGAATAGAAGCAGTTAGTGTGGCATTATTGTCTTATTCCTGGCCTTGGAGAAAAAGTTTCTGATATTTCTCCATTAAGTGTGATATTTGTCATTGGTCTTTTTGTGGCCTAATTGTCTGTTGTTAATATTGCCACCCTAGCTTTCTTTTCATTAGTGTTTGTGTGGCATATCTTTCTTCATCCTTTTACTTTCAACTGTGTCTTTTATTAACAGCATATAGCTGGGTCGTTTTTATTACATCTGACGATCTTTGCCTTTTAATTAACAGTGTTTGTTTTATTTTTAATGTAATTACTGATACATTTGGATTTCAGTCTGCCATCTTGCTCTGTATTTTCTATTTGTCCTATCCTCTTTTCCCTTGTTTCTTCTTTCCAGCTGCCTTTTACGTTAATCAAATTTTTAAGAAATTATTCCGTTGTATGTCCTTCATCGCTTTTCAATCTGTACTGTTCAGTGCTATTTTTTGTTTTTACTTTAAAGATTATGATGCACATTTTTATTACAGTCTTCCTCGAGTTGTCAATATTAATACATATTCATGAAGAATGGAAGAACCTTAAAACAGTGTGGTGGTTCCTTTTACTCCCTCTTGTTCTTTGTGCTGGAAGTGCCTGTTTCCTGCTGCCATGTATAGTAGTCTTTTATGGAAGTTTGTCAGTGATTTTTTTTTTTTTTTTTAGTATTTACCTACATGTTTACCATTTCTTGTCATCTTTATCCCTTCCAAATCCTGGCTCCCATCTGGTACCATTGACCTGTGGCCTAAAGTATCTTTAGAAATGAGGCTTACTAGTGACAAACTCTCTCAATTTTTGTTTGTCTAAAAATGTATTTTACCTTTATTTTTGAAGGATATTCCCTCTTGGTATAGAATTCTAGGTGGACTTTGTCTTTGAGCATTTTACAGATGTCATTCCATTGTCCTCTGGCTTCCATTGTTTCTCAGAAGTCAGCCATCATTGTTACCATTTTTACTCTGAATGGGCTGTATCTGTTTTCTATGGCTGTTTTTAAAATCATTTCTACATGTTTGGTTTTTAGCTGGTTGACTGTGACATTCCTGGGTATGCTTTTCTTTGTATTTACTGCTTGGAATTTTCTGAGTTCTTGGGATCTGTGGGTTGATGGCTTTCATCAATTTTGAAAATTCTCAGCTATTAACTTCTCACTTATTTCTTCTTTCCCATTTTCTTTCTTTCCTTTCCTTCTGGGACTCCATTTATACATATTTTAGACTATTTATTATTATTATCTTATAAATCTCTGACAGTCTGTTTATTTTTCTTCTTTAAACATTTTTTTTTTTCCAATTCTTTTGTCTCTGCTTTAGTTTGGATAATGTCTACTGGCTTTGAGCTCCTGTCTTTGAGCTCACTCATCCTTTTCCTGCTGTTAGGTCCATCCAGTGAATGCTTCATTTCAGATGTGATCTTTTAAGAATGGTCACTTCTCTCCTTTGTCAAGCAGCTTGGGTGAGCTGAGTTCAGCTAGGCTGGTGCTGGCCTGTAGCTCTAGGTAGCTTACACTCACCGGCAACTCCAGATGACATCTGGGCTTTCCGTTTAAGCGTCATGAGACAGCAGGGTCTCTTCCAGCTTTCTGCCCAGCCCTCAGCTTTCTACACTGTGGGAGATCTCTTTTTTGTCTCTCTGTCTCTTTGTGTCTTTCCCTGCTCCTTCCTTTCCTACTCAGCCCTCAGCTCCCCCTGCATGCTCAGGAGAAACCGTTGGGGGAGGTTGGCGGGCAGCAGGGCTGTCCCTGTGCCTGGGGAGCTTCTCTGGAGTTCACGCTCCTGCAGGGTGCTCCCACCTGTGACTGGTCTGTTCCCACACCCAGTTTTGTCCTCAGGAATAGAACAGGCTCATCCCTTTCTAGAATTTAGTTTGGACCAAGTCCTTGGCTCTTCTGACTGGTGTCCTAGCCCTGTCCCTAAGCCTGTTCCCCAGGGAGTGGCTGGAAGGGTACTTTTGGCCTTGAGCTGTGTGCTGCCTCCCCAGCCCTCCATCTCATTGCCTGGCTGCCTGGTCTCTTCAGTACTCAGGCTGCTGCCCTGGGGCATTTGCACTGGCTGTTCCTGCTGCTCCCTTCCTGTCACCTTCATGTCTCCCACAGACTCTGCCTGCTCTAGGAGGCCTGCCCTGGCCACCCACCTGGCCTCCTCCCATGCTCCATTCCTTCCAGAGCAGTTCTCTTCTCATGTGATGCAGGACAGATGACGTTCTTAGTCTACGATGTCCTGTGTCCTTCTCAGCTGTGTCTGGCCTCCTCAAGTTGGACCAGGCACAGCCAATGTGCAGTGGGTGTGTGCACCTCACAGCCCTTCCCTGGGAAGGAGCCTAGCTCCACAGTGCCTTGGACAGCAGGGCAGACGGGGCTGGGCACCAATGGGGCCGTGGCCGGGACCTGAGGGGGACAGGCACATCCACCTGTGATGGGCTTTCTCTGCCTCCCCATCTAATGGGATGTGAACCCCACAGGGCACTCCCTGGTCCAGAGGTTCCCTTCCTGCCAGGATTGAGATGCCAAAGATGTGATGCGGGGACTTGGAAGTAGGCCAGAGGAGGGACCTGGAGGAGTGAGCCCTGTGGCCTCGGTGCGCAGGGCACGTGCAGTGCAGGCTGTGTGGGCACCACTGGCTGCTCATGTCGCACGCCGCGGACAGGCTGCAGGGGGTGGTGTGAGCCAGGGCCAAGGGCCTCTTGTCTCCCCTTCCCCGCCATGGCATGGTCCCACTTGGCAGATGGCCCAGCATCGGGGAGCATATGCCTCAGGCGGCATGTGTGTGTACACTGCAGCACTTGGCCACAGCCGCAGGGTCTGGGGTCGCTCCTTGGGGGACAGGCACACTGAGGCACAGGAGCCCCCTCAGACGTCCTGGCTGGGGACATGGGTTTCATGCTGTGTCTCGACCCCGCCAGGTCGTGTGGGGCAGGCGGTTGCGCTGCGGGCCAAGGCCTTCGGCTTCAACGTCCTCTTCTATGACCCGTACCTGTCGGACGGTGTTGAGCGCGCCCTAGGGCTGCAGCGCGTGAGCACTCTGCAGGACCTACTCTTCCACAGTGACTGCGTGACCCTGCACTGCGGCCTAAACGAGCACAACCACCACCTCATCAACGACTTCACCGTGAAGCAGGTGCGCATGGCTGGGACTGTGCGTGGCTCCCTCCATGGGGGCCGTAGGTGAGGACAGAGGACTAGTCGCCCAGGGCCATCCTGCTCTGGCCAGCACTGGGCCAGGTGGTGGGTGACAGACAGGCCCCTGCTGGTGCCCTGCCCTCTGTGGCGAGGTGGCCAAGGGGACAGCAGGTCCCTCCCAACCCCAGCTGCACCTGGGGGCGAGGTCCTGCCTTCCCTAAGCAGCACCTCGGGGTCCTCCAGCCATGCTCTGGGAGCTCTGTCTGCAGACGCCTTTTTCTGTGTTCTGAGTTCTGCTCGGGGCTCCCCAGATGCTCTTCTGGCTATGGCAAGGGCAGAACCACTCACTTACCTTTAAATGTGAAATCCCCCTAAAGTTCCCTTGTCCTCGAAAATGGGGACGGATGCAGTGGCCTGAGGGTGTGGGGTTAGCTGATGTGCCCTTCAGTGCTGTGTCACCAGGTTAAGGTTTAAATCCATAGCCAGAAATGTTGCTCCAAAAAGTTAGCCTTGGCCTCAGCACAGTGCGCTTGAAGCACGAGATCTCGGCCCTCGTGTTTCCGCTCCGGTTGCTGGGTCTCTCCATGCCTGTCCAGGGGTCATGTGCATGCATGTTGTGGTGTGTATGTATGCAGGTACGTGTGCGTACCTGTGTGTGCACGTGTGTGTCTGCATACACATGGTGGGGCCACCTGCCTGCCCCCGACCCCCACAGCTACACGGAGGATGAGGCCATGCACCCGCCGCCCTTCCTCTGTAGGGCCGCCTCCCCCTCATAGAGCTAGGGGGTTTGGAGGCTCTTAGGGGACAGGGCGTGGCATTTGGGTGCTCTTCAGAGTTGTGCCGTCCACAAGAACTGGGTGCGAGGCTGCAATAGGCAGGAACTCACGAGGAAAAGCCATTCTGACCCAGGAGGCTAGCGTCCAACCACATGGCTGGGTGAACTTGCTTGGGATGAAATGGGGGTCACAGGAAACCCCTTACTACAAAGTGGGGGGAACCAACTCTAAGGGCCTTTTGTAAAAATAAATAAAAAATGAGCCTGTGTTGGAATAAAGAGGGTTCCTCTGCAGCCCCTCAGAACAAAGGCTCCCTGGCAAGGTTGGCATGTTGAAGACCACACCCTTGGGGCTCTTGTCTGTCATCCCAGGGAGTTTGGGGCGTACTGTGAGGTCCTGAGCTCCCACCTAGCGGGCCATGAGGCAGTGCTGGGGCAGCAGGAAGTTGAGCCGCAAGTTGGAGCATCTACTGCAGGCCGTGGCTCTCCAGGACGGGCTGGGCCTGCGTGGCCTGCCCAGCCTCCAGTCCTAGAGCCAAGGCCGCTCCCTCTCGCTCCCATGGCTGCCCGCTCTCTGCGCGGCACCCTGCCTGGCGGGTGGGAGGTGGTGCCTGCTTGCAGAGGCGCCCCTGGAGTAGGTGAGGAGGCCCCTGTGTTAACTACTCTGCGTTGTTGTTGTGTCTTCCCAGATGAGACAAGGGGCCTTCCTGGTGAACACAGCCAGAGGCGGCCTGGTGGACGAGAAGGCGCTGGCCCAGGCCCTGAAAGAAGGGCGGATCCGCGGCGCGGCCCTGGATGTCCACGAGTCGGAGCCCTTCAGGTGCCTCCGCTCTTCCTGGCCTGAGTGGTCCCCCAAGGCGGGCTGTGCCCACAGTCCTGCTAGGCTGCGACCTGGCGATGGGGCCTCTCCTGGGCATGGCAGTTCCTGGGCTTAGGCCTCTCTCTGCCACTGCATTGGGGAAAAGCAGAGCCTCCAGGTGCCAGGCCTGCCTCGGCCACAGCGCTGCGAGGGGCTGGGAGCGCTTGAGGCCCCCGCGTCCACGAGTGGTTTCCACGTGGGAAACCTGCCCCGGCCTCAGGCTGCCAAGGGCTCAGGTACAGCCGCGCTGGGCTTCGCATCCAGCCTGCGGCCACTCTGGGCTGACCTTCCTCCTGGGGCCTCAGCCAGGCTGAAGCTCGGTGGGCGGGCAGTGCTGTGGGCCAGGACGGTTCAGATCAGTGCCACGGGTACTTCCGGAGGCCCCTCAGCTGCAAAGCCCTTCCTGGGGGCCGCAGACAGGCCTGGGTTTGTGTTCAGCCCCTGAGGAGGCAAAGTGTGTGTGTGTGTGTGTGTGTGTGTGTGTGTGTGTGTGTAGGGGTGTCTGGGAGTCCGCAGCTCCTGGGGGCTGCAGACACTTCTGCCGGAGGAGACCCCTCCATGGGATCCCCGAGCCCCCGCTGCTGCCCAGAGCGCCTGGCGGGCGTGGTGGTCCTGCTGCTGCTCTCGGCCTGCCTGGGCTGATGGGTCTGTGGTGTCCCAGGGCCCACCCCGGCCAGAGCGCTCGGGCCTCTCTCACCATGTGCGCTGTCCTTAGCTTTAGCCAGGGCCCCCTGAAGGACGCGCCCAACCTCATCTGCACCCCTCATGCCGCATGGTACAGCGAGCAGGCATCCATTGAGATGCGCGAGGAGGCAGCCCGGGAGATCCGGAGAGCCATCACAGGTGGGTGCCGGGTGGCCAGGTGGGCTGTGGGCGTCCTTCCTGCCACCACTTGGTGCTCTCTGAGGCTCTTTTGGAGGCACCCATTTGCCAGGCATCTGAGGGGGCGCCTCGTGTTCCACCAAGTCCGTTTATGCCGGCGCAGGGGATATGGCCCTCTCGGAGTGAGAGCCGGGTTGGAGCCGTGCGTTGTGTCTTGCACATGAAGACCTACTGGGCCGAGCCCTGCACGCTGCGGCCTGGAATTCCCAGGCTTAGCAGACAGGCCCTCAGCAAGCTGTGCTCCGTGGGGTTCCTAGGCTGTGAGGGTGATGGCGCCTTGACAGACAGGACCTTGCTGTGCCTGAGGGAGTGAGCCTGGCAACTGGGACGGGGAATGCGCAGCCGAGGGGCCCTTGCAGCCCCAGTGCCTGTGGAGCAGCGCGTGTCCTGGGTCCCCTCAAAGCGGCAGCTGTCTTAACCTTTCTGCTGCATCTCCCAGGCCGGATCCCAGACAGCCTGAAAAACTGCGTCAACAAGGACCACCTGACGGCTGCCACCCACTGGGCCAGCATGGACCCAGCCGTCGTGCACCCTGAGCTCAATGGGGCCGCCTACAGGTGAGTGGAAGGGGCATGGGGAAGCCTCTGTCATGGCCCTTGGCCGAGGGGTACTCTGGCCCTATGGTGGGACTCTCAGGCCAGGACCCACCTGGGCCCTGCTGGGCATGAAGGATCAGGGTGGAATGGTGCAGGCCTCTTAACTGAAGGCCCATCAGGACCAGGGGCTCTGGGAAGGAACCTGGGCTGGGGCGGCCGTCAGGGCCTGGTGAATGCAGGACCACCAGGCAGAGGCCACCACTGGCCGGGGCCCTGGGTGAGGCCTCACAGCTCCCTACACCAGGGAGTGGCTCACGCGGGTGGGCAGCGTCTGTGCTGGTGAGTCTCACTGCCCACTGCCAGTTCTCTGCGGGAGCAGCCACCTGCCACTCTGGCCTCCCTGGGTGTCACGCCTCGGGTGAGTGGCAAGCGGGCATCACATACAGACCCCCTCTCCCAGCAGGTACCCCCCGGGCGTGGTGGGTGTGGCCCCCACTGGCATCCCGGCCGCTGTGGAAGGCATTGTCCCTAGCGCCATGTCCCTGTCCCACGGCCTGCCCCCTGTGGCCCACCCACCCCATGCCCCTTCTCCTGGCCAAACTGTCAAGCCCGAGGCGGATAGAGACCACGCGAGTGACCAGTTGTAGCCCAGAAGAGAGATCACCAGGCCCAGCGCTTGGGCAGAGGGCCCTGCAACTCTCGGACTGGAGCAGGCAGAGGCGGCGCCTTCGTGGTGGCTGCAGCACTCCAGAGACTGGTCCGGGCTGTGTGGGAGGCAGGGGTGGCGCTGGCCCTCCCCCGTGTCCACTGTAGTTGTCCCGTCCCGTGGGCTGGCTCACTGTCCTGTGTCCTTTGCGTTCCTCGTTAAGCAAAAGAAGTTAGTAGTTAATTCTATCATGAATGTTCTTGTCTGTGTACAGTTTTTAGAACATTACAAAGGATTTGTTTGCTTAGCTGTCAACAAAAAGAAAACCTGAGGGAGCATTCAGCAAGTGGATTTGAGATTATTTTTTCTTTTTATATGTTGGAACGTGCCCCGGAATGAGGCAGTTGGCAAACTTCTCAGGACAATGAATCCTTCTCGTGTTTCTTTTTATGCCACACAGTGCATTGTTTTTTCTACCTGCTTGTCTTATTTTTAGAATAATTTAGAAAAACAAAAGCTGTCTTTCCTAATTTTGGCATGAACCCCCTTGTTCCAAATGGAGATGGCATCACAAGGCAGCTCAGAGAGAGGAGCGTGTGGGTGACACACAAGTGTGCTCGCTGCCCGTCGACGTCTGTCCTGGGGGATGCGGAGGGACGGCAGCGTCCCCACCTGCACCGGTGCCGTCCTGCTGATGTGTTAGGCTAGCAATATTTTGGTTAAAATCATGTTTGTGACTGTAACCATTTGTATGAATTATTTTAAAGAAATAAAAATCCCAGAAAGAGCCGACGTGCCTAGCATTTGTTGTAGTGACTTTGTCTCATGAGGACACTGGTGGCTCTTAGTCCTGCGGGGCCTGAACTCAGACTCTGGGAAGCAGGCAGCCCGGGAGACCAAGGAGAAGGGCAGAGGCGGACCGGGGGGTCCCTGTGTGTGCCGGGCCTGTCCCCCTGCCCGCTGCGTGTGAGGGAGGGAAGAGTGCGCCGGCCCAGGCCATACGGTTGTGAGTGCTGTTTTCTGCTTGGATAAAGGCCTGACTGGCCATTGTCCTGTCCCACAAAATGTCCCACCCCTCCCTTTTTGGCACACCTCCCTCAGGCAGGCCTGCGACCTGGGAAGGCACAGGCCAGAGGAGGAGGACATATAGATGTCAAGTCCTCTGCAGACGGACATGGGAAGCTGCCAAGACCACTGGTTAGACGACCTACAGAAATTTGCAGAAAAGCCAAAAGGGGTCATTCCTCACCTGAGCTCAAGGTCATCCCGTTTGTGTCCTCATGTCCTCTTTAGAATCCCAGCCTCCTGGTTTTCAGGAGCTTCCTTTGGAAGCCCAGTCAGTGCCCATTGGCAGAGTCCCCTGCACCTCCCTCAGGGCCACTGCTGAGAGACACATCAGGGGTCTCGTCCCCCTGTTCAGAGCCCTCCCTGGAGCCCCACGGCACTCAACGTGCCCCCAAGCTCTCCTTGCGTCGTCCTCAGCCCACTGGCCTCCCAGCGCAGAGTCTGACTCTGACTCTTCCAAGTGCAGCCCAAGCATCACCCGTGTGGCCTCCACATGTGGCTGCACTTGCTCATCTCTCTCCTTGGACGGTGTGCTGCCTAGGGCAGGGTGGGGCCTCGCCCGCCCCCAGAGGCTGGCCAGCGCCAGTAAGAGTTGCCTGGGCCGCCCCCAAGCCACCACTGCAGTGCCCGCGGGGGTCATGCCTCGGGTTCTCCAGTGGCTTCACGAAGTTTCCTCTTCTGCCTTCATTCTGCTTTTTGGGGCAGCTTTGTGCTTCCAAGGCTGGCTCTTTAGTGGTCTTTACACATGGTTCTTCCAGGGTCACACAGCCTACAAATACCTATTTGCTTCTGGTAAAAATGCCTTAGTTTTGCCCGTGCACCTGAGTGAGTGTTGGCTGGGCACAGAATTCCAGATCAGGAGTCGTTTCCTCCCACGGCGCCCACGTCAGCCTGTCATCTTCCAGCTTCTGTCTTGGAGAAGCCAATGTCTGCCCAGCCACCACCCCCTGGGGTCTCTCCATTCCGAATAGGGGATCTTCCCTGTAGCCCGTGCCCACTTGTGGTTCTATTTTTATTTATCCTCCCAAGAACTCATGACACTTCCTGAATTGGCAAATTCGGGTCATGCTGATAGCAGAGCCAGGGCCAGGGCCCTGCAGAGCCATGACCTGAGACAGGGTGTTACCCACAGGGCAGGGCCAGGCCGAGCTCCGCGGGAGTGCGTGGTGCCTGACAGACAGGCGGGGCAGCCAGTGCAGCTGTGGTGTGCGGGGCACTTGCTGTGGGCAGGCAGAGCCCTGAGTGTTCCCTGGGTTACGCGGGTCCTCAAGACGGCCCCACAACTAAACTTTTGACTTGAAACTTAGAAGAAAACCTGGAGCGTTAAATACAGATATTACAAAGAATAAAGGCTAAAATTTAGATTTATGCATATCTTATACAACTAGAAAAACAATGACAAGATAAAATTTTATGAGATTACATGAACTTTGATACCAAGTCCCTAAGTGAAAAAATTACCATACAGACACCCAAGAGGAGTGTTTCCAGATGGCTCAGACTTCTGCTGGGCAGATCCAGGTGACGTGCTGGTGCTGAGGGGACCTGAGACCCCTCCTCAGGACCCTCCCCTGGATGCTGTGTCATCCCCTAACGTGTCGGCTCCTGCCGTGGTCTGGAGCAGAGGAGAAGATGGGCCAGTGCCTCTGGTGGGACGCTCTCTTTGGGCCCCACCCCATCTCTGTCAGGCGTGGCCGCTGGCCCCAGTTTTAGGCAGCCAGCCCTGAGGGCAGCCCCACCTCACTGTGGCCAAGGCCTCTGCCCCCGCCCAGGAGGTGGGTGCAGCTGCCCACCAAACACAACCAGCCCGTCTCTGCCCCTAGGTGGCCCGGGCTGGGTGAGAAGGGCGGGCTCTGGGTGCCTGTTGTATTAATAGCTCAGCCCCCGCCTTGCTGGCGCGGGTGTGGGTATGAGAGGTGACTCCCAGGGTCTCCGGCTGGAAGGATGGCTGTGGAGGGCCCCTGGGAAGACCAGGAGTTCCACCTTGACCTCTAGCCTGAGCCCTGGGGAGGGTCCCGGGCCCTGGTCCGCCCTCAGGACAGCAGGGGGGAGCTGGCCTCCCTCCCCTTGGAGCTGGGCGCCCCCCTAGCCCCACCCCTCCCGCAAGGCCGGGCGGGGGCACCAGGAATGTGCTCTGGACACAGGCCCAAGGCCTCACACTCAGTCTCAGTGTTTCCAAGTCAGACGTTTACTTTCCCCTGAGGAAAGGCAGGCGGCCAGGGAGCCTGACGCGGAAGTATGACTGAATCCAAGATGTAAGGACAAAGAAAGCCATCAGAACGGTGTTCTGAGCCGTAACATGAGTCTTCCATTGACGCCTCCTCCACTGTTTGAAGGCGGGGCTGTCCTGGGAGTGGCCCCACCTGCAAGGCCCCTGGAGGGTGCTGAGGACCCGGTCAGCAGGAGGCAGAGGTGAGGCTCCCCTCTTCAGCCTCAGTCTCCTTGTCTGTGAAATGGGCATCAACGTTTGTCTCCCTGGAGTCTAACATACCGGAGGGCATGGCCAAGCCTCTAAGGCAGGAATGGAATAAGAGGTTCGAATATCGTCATCTGTGCAGAAAACCCAACAAAATCAGGAAACGACTAGAACAAATCAGAAGACTGGCAAGGCTGTGTTGCACAAGCACCTGGGCTGGTAGCTGCAAACTGCTTTACCCAGTGACTGCAGAGCACTGGAACATTCCCTGCTCTCTTCTCTCCCCCACACCCGTCTTCCATTTGCTTTGCATAAGACATGGGGTGTGACCCGCTACGCTGACTCCAAAATGAATGGATGAAACAGGTCAGGACCTGGTACTACCCAGCCCAGCAGCAGGTGTGGAGAGCAGCCTGGGAACTAACAGACCAGGTGCTGAGCTCTGAGCAGGGCTGTCAGAGTGACTGGAGGCAGTCAGGTTTGTGGGTGGGGGTGTCCACATTGTACAATACACGTTTTCTCCAAATTAACTTAGAATTTCATCATAATCCCAGTCAGAAAGAATTCCAGAGGTTTATTTTTAACAAATTCAACAGTTTTACCCCCAAATTTACATGGAACAGCATAGGGCTTATAAAACTAAGGCATACTGAAAAGCAAGCACAGTGACAACAGTCTGGTTCTGACGCGGAGATGGGCAAGGAGGTGGCTGGGCTGAGGAACGGAGCGCGGGAGAGCGGGCCGGTGCGTGCGTGCGCGTGTAAGCGTATGTTGGCATGCGTGTGTGGACTTGAAGCGTGGCTGAGGGGCACAGATCCACCCCTACACCCTTTGGTGGGGGACACAAGAGCTGGTGTCACAAGGCAGCTCCAGAGGCCAGATGGCTCATTCAACGGGATGGCAAAAGCACAAACCAAGAGGCAAAAAAAGGACTCAGGAGAGGCCGGCAGCTAGGACTGAGACGGGTGCACAGCAGGGCGCAGGCCCCCCCTCGGCCCACTGTTCTGCTAGAGATGTCCTCTCTCCTGGCGGCGGGCAGACACCTGAGCTGTGGCCTCCTGCAGTCCTCCCTCTGGGTAGGGGACAGGGCGAGAGCCAGGTCCTCCTGGGCCTACCCAGGATGGCCCCCTCCCCTCACTGTGGGCTCAGAGTGGGCCCCAAGGAGGCTGGGAAGCACCTGCTGCCCCTGCCCTCGGCTACTCTCGGCCGGAGCTCAGCTGGACTTGCAGAATTGGTTTTCCAGCAAAAAACAACATCAGCAGAGAAGACTCGAGAGGCCAGCCAGCTGCACAGTCTCTTCCAGGCCTTCTCCCCCTGCTGCCAGCGCTCCCCGCAGTGAAGAAAACCATCTGGCCACTGGGCCTCGAGCCCGGCGCCTGGAAGAGGCCCTCTGGCCCCTCTGGCTAGCACTGCCCCCACCCCTGCAGGCCCCACGGGCCTCTCCCCATCTCACCTCAGCATGGAGCCCCAGCCGCCTCGCTGGCAGCCTGAGCAGGATGGGTTGGCCTGGCCAGTGGCAACGCCTCGTAAGTCCACCTCTGCTCCCTGACCACTCACCTGGATGGCACGGCCACCGCCTGCCCCCAGCTTTCCGACAGCAGCCCAAGGGTTTCATACACAGGATGAAGTGACCAGTGATCCAAGGCCCCAGGGGGGTCACACTGTCACCACCAGCCTTGGCTGGTTAGGCGGAGGGTGCAGTGCCTGGTGAAGCCCAGCCCCCGAGGGTGCGGGGGCCCTGCAGACCCCACACCCACAGCTCTCTGGCCTCTATCCCTTACAGGGCGCCTGGGGTGGTATGGTCTCGATGCGTGAGCACTTGGGTTTTAATATGTCACTTGCCCACCATGGCAGGTGCAGAGGAACAACAGGGCAGAAGGGCCAACTGGCTGGGAGCTCTCCTGGGGCCCAGGCCCAGGGACCACCATTCCCGCTCTGGGTGGCCAGATGGTTTGTTCTGGGCACCTTGGCACAGAGCAGCCCAGCTGTCTCGAGGACACCAGGCCCTGGCACCCCCACACTTGTCCCGGGCCTCCCCTTACCCTGAAGCTGCATGGCCTGGGGTTCGTCCGTCATTCGTCCTGCCCTTGCTGCACCAAGACTGTGCCTGCCTCAGGGCCCTCAGGGCCCCCAGGCCAGTCTGGGTCCATGCAGGAGAAGAACATGCTCTTCGACTGCCCCAGGCAACCCATCTGTGCAGTGGGTGGTCACACACCCCCCATGGTGCCCAGTGTCTGCACAGTGATCAGCACCATGCTGAACCCAGAAGAAGCCCCTTCTCTTCCAAGGGCCTCACTGGGCCTGCAGGT